GGGGGAGTGGGAGAAGCTGATCTATGTCATTTCAGCAAAAGAACCAGGAGCTTTCAATTGGCATCTGAAAGGGCAAGTTTGTGATACTGAGCCTTTATAACCCATGGAATCTGACACTGTCTCCAGTGAATTAAATTATAGGACACTCAGTTGGTGTCTGATTGAGAATTACTTGGTATATAGGGGAAAACCTACACATCTGGTCACGGAAGTGTTTTATATTGAATGTGAGTAGAGAGGGAAAAAACAACTCTTTTCCTGTAGATTGGGCTTTATAATATTTTCTACCACCAGCCATCCCCCTTAAGTACAGTTGACCCAGGTGAATGACATGTGAACTGCGAGGATCCATTTATACTTGGATTTTTTTCAACCAAACACGGATCAGAAGTACATCTTCAGGCCAGGTGCAATTGCTCACACCTGTAATCCCAAGCACTCTGGGAGGCTGAGGCAGGAAGTTCACTTAAACTTAGGAGTTGAAGACCAGCCTGAGCAAGGACAAGACGACTTCTATTTTGGGGGTGGGGGGGAACAGAGTCTCACTTTGTCACCCTTAGTAGAATGCCATGGAATCATAGTTCACAGCAACCTCAAACTCTTGGGCTCAAGCAGTCTTGCCTCAACCTCCCAAGTAGCTGGAACTACAGGCACCCACCACAATGCCTGGCTATTTTTTAAAGACAGAGTCTTGCTCTTGCTCAGGCTGGTCTCAAACTCCTGAGCTCAAGCAATCCACCCACCTTGGCCTCCCAGAGTACTGGGATTTACAGGCGTTAGCCACTGTGCCAGCGTCCATCTCTTTTTAAATAAAAAGGAAAATACATATTCGCAGGACACAAAATCCGTATATATGCAGGGCCAACTTCTAGACTTGAGCGTGTGTGAATTTGGTATCCTCTGGGGTCCTAAAAGCAACTTTCCTCCCATATACCAAGAGGCAGCTACACTGTAATTCCTTCTCCTGAGATTTTAGCATAGAGTACCAAGAATTGAAAAACTAAAGTTTTTCTTGGGCTTTTGAAAAACCTGAACTCAGCTCGGTGCCTGTAGCTCAGTGGCTAGGGTGCCAGCTACATACACCAGAGCTGGCGGGTTTGAACCCAGCCTGGGCCTGCCAAACAACAATGACAACTGCAACAAAGAAAATAGCCAGGCCTAGTGGCAGGCACCTGTAGTCCCAGCTACTCGGAAGGCTGAGCCAAGAAATCGCTTAAGCCCAAGAGTTGGAAATTGCTGTGAGCTGTAACACCATGGCACTCAACCAAGGGCAACATAGACTCTGTCTCAAAAAAAAAAAAGAGAAAGAGAGAGAGAGATTAATAATAGTAATTGACAA